AATACCTTCCTTTCACAGCCAATGATTTGCAAGATTTATTTCTTTCCTTTCACAGCCGATAATCGTATTGGCGAAGATCTTCTTTCCCTTTATTTATTTATGCCAGCCAGAAAATTTAATTCCTTCATTTCGTAGCCCACAAATCCACTTTATTTATGTGAGATTTATAATTCCTTCGTTTCACAGCCCGAAATATAATTACTTCTCTATTCTTAATGCTTCTTGTTAATTCTCAAATTCACAGGTATTTAAATTGATAAAATTATGTGTAAATAAGCAAGATGGGACTATAGAAAAGAGGAGCAGCCGTAGGCATCAGGAGTCAGTTCGACTGTAAAGAAAAAAGAAAACTGGCAAAAGAAGAACAAAGATTTTTTCCATATTTTGTTTTCCTTTGATATATCGACCATTCCTTTTCTATATACAACTAACAGAGCTAGCTTAGTCTTACATGAACTTTTATAGTTAACCAGAGGTTGCTGGTTCGATTCCTCATACTACCTAATAATCTTGACCATGAATTAGTACCACCTCGCATATATGTTTTAAATTCACCGGAAGAAGCGTATTATGACGGTGAACCCATAGAGTCAATCCGTGCTTTATTATTAGGGATAGATGGTTCTCCCTATTTATACTAAGCATTTTTACATCCTATTACTCACTTTCTCACTAAATATATCTTATTTTCTAGTGATAGGCCCACTAGCATACAATTTACCTTGTCTGAACACACCAACATAATTGACCACTTATGATGCCCAATATTAAATATATTCTTTTGTGTTAAACAATTCCAATGTGAAATACGATTGTGTTCCATGAAAAGTATGCTACTTGAGTTTTGTCTTGCCACAATTTAAGAAAATCAATAGCTAGACAAGATTTTTCTCTAAATCTAGCCAAAGCAACTGAAGGTAAACATAATCATATTTCTCCATGTGACACATATATCGTGGCATGCTTGTCTACTTCAATATGTCAAAAATATCTTCATACATGCTTGTAGAGCTTCCGAGTCTCACGGATACCTTGGTAAATGTTTGTTGGTTTGTTAATTCCTAGTTGAACCGATATCAGGGACGTCATGGGAATGAGCAGAGAAGATAGTCGTTGGGTGAGGTAGAGTACAAGGGTTAGCGATGGTGGTCGCCTCCATGTTGCTATCCGGTTGTTGGTTGGGTCAGAGTTACAAGGGGATTTGCAAGAGGCAAGCAACTGAGGAGGCGATGACATGAATAAGCAACACATAGGGAGGATGAGAGCCGAAGGCAAGGCGGGGGCCATCGTCATGGGCAAGAGTGGAGATGGAGGATAGGAGCTATTTCGAGGGAGATAAGTGACTGGTGAAGTGAATAAGTGTGATAGCCAATGTTCCCTTTTTAGGAGTGTGATGGCTAATCCTATATATACCTAAGCAGTTCATCTGCACTACCTTATTTATCTTAACATGCACCATGCCCACATCAACAATGAGCCATATCATCCATATTTTTCCCACTGAATGGGCCATGTCCGCAATTTTTGCTTAAACCATTCGGTTTACTAGAATGGTGTATGGGCCATTTAACTTGAGGCTTTCAACAGCGTGAGTGCGCGACACACTTCTAACCCTTTCCCTTCCTCTCACTTGATCACTTCCCCTCTCTCTTCAGTTTCCTTATTTATTTCTTCCAATTAATTGGTAACCAAAGAGCATCACAAGGCAACCATATTTCTTCCCTTTCTCTAAATTCCCAGTGTTTCCAATCTCAACCACGCAACCCACACCCCCAGCATGGCCCCTCCTCTTCTCCATCAAACCCCTTCATATTCCACTCTGATTGTGCGGTACGACATGAGCGGCATGACACCGTCATCGAAGTGGCCAGCGGCGTCCGGGCGACGGAGCCAAGCAGGAGACAGGCGAGGCTGATAGCCGATCACGGCACAGGAGGAAGATCGAGACCGACAGACCTTCCCCATAGTGGTACCGCTCTCCCGGCCGAGGAAGCCGGCAAGGGAAGAGCGGTGAGGCCCGGGAAGGACAGCTCGGTGTCGAGGGCGTGTTAGCGCTTGCGCACATCAGCGCACCAGAAAGGGTCAGCGACGTCGTACACACGGGCGAGTATCTCGCTGGCAGCCACACCAGCGAGAGCGCCTGGGTATGTGCATGTTGTTGCTTTTATGGGTGTGTCCATGCCGTTGCTGGTACTGTACTTTCCTATGCACGTATGCAGTGGATCCTTGCTAAGAGACACATATCAGACCAGATTATGGTCAGCATCGACGGCATCTCAAAGATGATGGATCGTGTGCTGGGTTCATGGTATGTGGATGGCAGGTATGGTTTCCTCCTCCAACATCTTAGTCATGTGGGGGTGCCAGATCTGGAGTTCGATGGCGTGTCCGGGGTGTTGCCTTGATCTAATTCGTTCAACGGTAATGGTTTCGCCTTTGGCGAACCACCTCTTGGAGGTACGCAAAGTTGCATATTGGCGATTGAGCCGCGTCGAGCTCAGGTGTGGAGGTGATCTGTATTTTTTTTTCCTTTGGTGACTATTCTGGTGGTACCATGGGCAGATGATGGGCGTTGGTGTCAAGATCAGATGTTTCTTCGGTCTTGTTTGTAATTTTATTTTTTGACTAGTATTCCTTTGTGCAAAGACTAGCGTTATGCTACTGGCAGGTCAGTATGTACATGGCGTGTACTATGATTCTGATGATATAAACGAGACACATATTATCAAGCAAACAAAAATACAAGATTAACTACAAACCTATTGTTATACTCTAGCCAGAGTACATAAGAACAATGTGTAAAATTCTTGCCTCCTCTGACCAAAGTACATGTTTGAATTTCTTTCCGTGGTGATTTCTCCATGGTCAATTTATTTAATTATCTTCATTACTTTATACCTAAATTTCTGTTTACTATTTTTTGGGCTATTACTGCCTATTGAACATTTAAACTACATGAGTTTGTCAAAATTAAATTCTACCTGTGCGTGCTAAAAAAATTCTGCAGCAACGCGCGAGATGTCATCTAGTATTCTAAAATGACATGGATTGGCATGCTTCTAAATATGTAATAATTACAGCGGCATGTTTCAATTTATGATAATAGTAATGTCATTTCTCAAAACAAAACAAAATGGTAGCGGCTTATATATATCAAATTTACCTTTTTGTTAATTTCATCTATGTGCTCATGAGCTTGAGATAATTCAGCTAATAGATTGCACATGCAAGGGTGGGGACGTAATCATTTAGGATTTCCTATTTAACACATGGTGTGTGCGTTAACGACGTGACGACCACGGGCCTCGTTAGTAGAACAGGGGGTTTTCCCTTAGAGGCGTCTAGGGTGTCTTTCCTGCGGGCGATCCAATCATCCTAAGTTCTGCACCACCACCAGTCTACTAAATGGGTTGTCTCGTTGGAGTTGCCCTTACGAGCCAGCAGATGCCTGCTGCGAAGGAGTGATCCCTATAAACCAGGGCATTTCCTAAACGGCGCCCATAGCGCCCGTTTTAGGCTTAACGGTACAGGGCGCACACCCCTTTCACCGCACTGGGCCGGCCCACGTTACTTTTTTTAAAGACGCAAAAAACAGCGTCCCCACGGTTACTCGAACTGGCGATCTCCTTGCTCAGAGTTCGTTGTCACAACCAACCAACGAGCCTACTTGACGTGTTTACTACTGGCCTTTTTCTTCTTATAATCTTTTTTTTATTTGCTGGAATGGTTTTCTTTTTTTTTCGATTTTGGAACAGTTTTTTCTTTTTCCTTTTTTATTGGAACGGTTTTGTTCATATTTTCTTTTCTGCAAAATGCGTGAACATTTTCTGCAAAATCGATGAACTTTTCTAACCAAAGTCCATGATTTTTTTTCAAAATTGATGAACTTTTTTTCAAATTCAGTGAACTTTTTTTGAAAACCAGTGAACTTTTTTAAATTAATGAACTATTTTCAATATCCAAAATATTCAGATTTTTCGAAATTCGTTTGACTTTTCAGAAAAAAAAATTCGAAATTCCAAATTGTGTTCATGTTTTCGAATTTTGTTCACGTTTCAAAAATAGTTCTGAATTCCAAATTTTTGTTAACCGTATTGAAGAAAAATGTTCACCATACATTGGAAAAATGTTCAGTGGGTATAAAATATGTTCATCATGTTCAAAAGGAGTTCATCATATTTAAAAAAAAGTTCTACGTGTATTTGAATATTGTTCACTATACATTGAAAAAATGTTCAGTGTGTATTAAAAATGTTCATCGTGTAGAGAAATTTTGTTCAGCATGTATTCAGAAAAAGTTCAGCATATTTTAAAAAAATGTTCAATGTTCTTTGAATAATGTTCACCCTATACTAAGAAAATGTTCAATGTGTATTCAGAACTATTTTTGAATACACGGACCTTTTTTTGCATGCCCAAGAACTCCATCCGTAATATTTGAGCATATTTTCAATAATTGAAATGTATAACTGCCACAGTGTATTGTGCAATAAATAGCGCGTCTATTTGCTGTTTATTTAAACTTTCACGGTGGGAATGTCCGCTAGCAGTTAGGTGGGCAGTGGCTAGCCTCACCGTGTGGAAGCGGGAGGGCGCGAGGTCGAATCTCTCGCCGGGAGGTATTTTTGGCTGTCATTTTTCTCTCGTTGCTTTGTTGCGTGATCGTGGGCCGGCCCATCCAACCGCTGATCCTTGCGCGGCGCTGAAGGCGCCCTATAGGAGTCCCCATAAACCAGGTCATGACTGTCTTCATATGTAGTGGGCCATGTATCATCATGCCGTGTGCAATGCATCCATTTCCAGTTGGCCCAAGAACTATATCCACTTTATTTCAACATTTCAGTAGAAAAATGAACAGCACCAACTCGACCAGCACCATCTGTGCCAAGTTAAAAAACACACTTAAAGTCTATAAAAGGCGACATAATAATCACTAAGCCTTGGATTGACCAAATATCCTGTTGAGCGTAGCCGCCAATCGGACGCCACCTTGCGCCAACCTCAAGTTCACAACCGGCAGCCTGCTCCCGAAATACTCATCTGCAGCCCACAGATACAGTGGTCATTTAGTTACTCCACCAATCAACTAATCAGAAGATGATGGTCCTACGTCGAATGCCAGTTTAAGCAGACACACATACCACTCAGCGTTGAATCTTCTGTCACGCCCTTGTACGCCGAGTTGCACGCTGCGGTGATGCTCTCCGACCCATATCTTGCATAATTAGATGCAATCGATCAGACTCTTAAATGCGATATTATGGAATAATAATTTTGTATGATAAATACTCATTTACATGCTTCTAATTACACACAACCGAATAAATGCTGAACATTTTTTTCATTTTCCCTTTAAAAAAGAAAAGAAAAGAAAGAAATCAAGCATACGTACTTGTCAGGGCACGCCGTCTGGTTCTTGGCGCACTCCTCCCATTCCTGCACTTTGTCTGACCACGCCCCCTGCAATCACTCAGTCGATCAGCGTCAGTTACTACAGTATCAGAAATTTACAAAGCAGATCACCACCTGCCGAACAAGCTACTGTATATGCAGAGAGATCATACGAAAAAAATAAATATTCAGAACAATTCCGCACCGTTATGTTCTTGTTCAGCGCGTCAATGAATTCGCCCGCGCCTTCGTCGTAGTAGTCCTTCTCGGCCGTCTGGATGATGTTCACATCCCAAACCTGACAACATACAACAATCCAAAGGTAAAATTATTGCCACATTTTTTGGTCAGAATGATACTCCCTCCGTCCCATAATATAAGAACGTTACGTTCTTATATTATGGGACGGAGGGAGTACATTTCACAGGGTTCGTTCTGAAGTCTGAACTACATGAGGCTTACATGGTGGAGGACGGTCTTCCTCCTGTACCAGTGGACATCAATGGTGTTCCCGCCTCTGTCAGAAGCAAAACCACAATGCAGTGGCTACATAAACAAGACGCATTAGCTGAACTTGCAACCCGCAACAAGAACACTAGCAAAATTCAGGCAGTTGGGGTCTGGCAAGAGTAGTACCTGGTGGATGTCTCCCATGAAGTGCGAGAGGAACAAGAGCGCTTCCGTCAGGTTATCTGCAGTATACCGTACAGACAAAACATGGCATCTTCAGTACTAATTCAGTAGTATATCAAAGACGTTTGTATGATCTAACTGAACATTACATTGGCCGGAAGATTTAGAAGACGGCGACAGCGATGATGATCCGTAGGTGAGGAGCTGGGAGGTGTAGTTGTTGATGGCGCCGGCGACGCAGCGGCCCTTGACGCCCTCCTCGTCCTTGCAGTCCCCTGAGACGACACACAGACCGGTGCAGAGATCAGGACCCTTTGACTGCGGTCAGTTTCAGTCGAACAGCAGAGTGTGGGCCAATTACGAGTACGTACTGTCGTAGGAGTAGCTGCAGACGTTGTCGGGGACGTCGATGAAGTGGAGCGGCGCCGACCAGTGGTACCTGAACCTGACCCTGTCGGCCCAGGAGCAGAAGCTGCTCAGGTTGCCGCCGGCGCCCGACGGCAGCAGCTCGTTCACCGCCTTCGCCGCCGCGTCGCTCAGCCGGCCCTGCAAGAAAGCACACACCACCACCACCGCTCGATCAAATCACAGTGCCGGCCGGCATGCTTCAGAAACCCGCAGAGACATGCTGCCTAGTGCGTACGTACCTGCGCGATCTGGCAGATGATGAGGTGCCCGTCGACGCCCCAGCCGAGCGACGGTGCGGGGAGGGCGGCGACGACGACGGCGAGGAGGAGCAGGAGCGCCGTGCCGGCCTGACGACCCTGCATCGCGGCTTCGTCACTGGAAATGGAGACGGGGAGAATGAGAGATGATGACGGATCTCTGCTCTGCTGCGTCTTTTAAGCAGAATTTTGTGGATGCGGCGTGTAAATGCGGGCGCGTTCAGGAAAGGGAAGAGGAGCAATCTTTGGAGCGGACAGCGTACGCAGTAAAGCGCGCGATATCCTGCCAATCAATGCCGGCCAGCCATGAATCAGGTTCACACCATGAATGTTTTCTTTCTTTCGGGGTGGACGTTCACACCATGCTGAAAATGCCGACCACGTTCATACCGACGCCCACAATGCGTGAGTGTGCTGCGTGGAGGTTTTTCTGATGTGGATGGGTCGCCATTAAATTTTGCACATTTAGGCCGACATATACAGCATCTTACTATATTACTCCTAGCTATTTATAAAAGATATGGAGGGAGTACCAGATTTCATTTATGCATGTTTGAAAAAGAAAGACTTCATTTGCAAAAGTAATATACTTACATATTAATCGGGACTGCTTTATTGGTCACCTAAAATGTTTGCTTTGGTCGGTGGCATGCCGTTGTTTATTACTAGCATAATGGCCGTGCGTTGTGATAGAATGCTTTTTTTTAATGTCGAGACGTCGTCATGGAAGTATTTCTGCTGTGAGCATTAGTGCGAAGCTAAAAAGGTTATCACCTCATGACAAGCGTCGACATACTCGACTCCGGTGGCAGTGCTAATAATTCAAGCATGTGGTGTCAATTTAAACATGTGATGTCAAACACATGTGTGTTTACAAATTTTAGACTAGCTCTTGCATATTTTTTTTTTCCGATAAACAGGGGATCACCCCCGGCTCCATTTCATATAGAAAGAAACCACATCATAGCAGTATCTTACAGACCCGAAACACCCATACAGATAACAGTCTACAGCCAGAATAGTCTCAGGAGAAGATCTACCTCCCAACACAGACTTTTTGAAATAGAAACTACCGAAGCATGCTGCAAACAGACAGCAACATCTACCCTAACACTCAATCCACTCAAACATGAGGCCACCACACTCTAGGCTAACCTAGACAGATAGACCCCCCTCCCCACCGATGCTGACCACATGGATGCCGTCGGCTTCCTCTGGGTGCTGCAGTTGGTACTCCAGCGTGGCCCTTCCTCCGTGTGCAGCATTTCCAACTGCCTTTTTCCAGAGCCCAGCATCAACGATTTGGTCTTGCAACCACTTGTTGCAGCTCAGCCTGGTTCCAGCATCAACGGATTTCTCAGGGTTCTCCAGATCAGATCTTTGAAACTCGTGCATTTTCCCCCCTTGGAGATCTTGGAACAGCTTGGTCCAGTCCCTCAGATAGCGGTAAACTAGCCCCAGAACCTGTTTCATAGAAATCCAAGAGCACCTATTAAACACTACAGAATTCCTAAAATTCCACAATCCCCACAGGACAGCAGAGCTCACAACATTTAGTTGCTTGCATTTTTTGGCGCACAACCAGTATTTAGCTACAGATTCAAAACCAACCACAGAAATGTTGAAGACAGTATTAACCTCAGCCCAAACTAGCCTAGCTACCACACAATCAAAGAGCAAATGACGAACATATTCAATCTCCTTGCAAAAAACACACTCTAATGGCTTCAGTATGCCTCTCTTCCTAAGGTTATCACAAGTCATGATTTTATTCTGCGAAAAGAGCCATAGAAAACCCTGCACCCTGGGTGGAAATTTCACACTCCAAACAGCAGGGAGGTAAACAGGTTGCACCCCCCTGAAATTCACAATGGCATACAGGGATCTAGAAGAATAAACCCCTTTTGACTCATATTTCCAGATCAAAGAGTCAGCCTCCTGGGAGAAAACAGTTAGTGACAAAATTTCAACCAATTCAAACCATTGCGACATCAGCTCATCTGAGAAGGTCCTCCTAAAGGTGCATTTGAGCTCCTGGCCATCCCAAATCTCTGCAATGGTTTTGTTTTTTTCATTCACCAAGACATACAAGTCCCAGTATTGGGTAGCTAAGGGAGTGTTACCATACCAGGTATCCTCCCAGAATGTAATCAATCTACCATCACCCACCTGCCACTTGTACCCCACTTTCACAGCCTGCAAAGCCCACATCACCCCTTTCCAAAACTGGGAGGGGTGTGGATCTCTACAGCAAAGGATGTTGGGGCTTTTAGTATTATATTTGTTATCTACAATTCTCCTCCACAGAGAACCCTCTCCAGCAATGTATCTCTTAACCCAAGATCCAATCAGGCAGAGGTTCATATCTTGGAGGTTTGGAACCCCCATACCCCCAAACTCTTTTTTCATGCAAATGGAAGGCCAGTTAGCCAAATTAATTTTATGAGCACCATCAGTGTCACTCCATAGACAATTGGCCATATGGGAATTAATCAAATTAAGAGCCCACTTAGGGAATTTGAAAAAAGACAGGAGATAGATAGGGATGCTAGCTAAGCAGGTTTTAATAAGAATAATCCTCCCTAAATATGACAACAACTTTCCTCTCCACCCAGCTATTCTAGCCAGAATCTTATCAAACAGATATTGCAGGTCCTCCCTGCTTAATTTGTCAAAGTGTAATGGGATGCCTAGATATTTGATAGGGAAGAAACCCACCACACATTGGAAAATGTCTACAAACTCATCCAACTCCTGTGGAGCAACATTAATGGGAACTAGAGCACTCTTGTGGTAATTAATTCTCATACCAGACACCTGTTCAAAATAGGTAAGAATCCATTTAATATTTAAGGCTACTCTACTATCCTTTTCTAAAAACAATAATGTGTCATCAGCATATTGCAAACACAAGACCCCCCAGGAGCCAACTCAGGACACAAGCCCCTAATCAAGCCTGAGTGGGATCCTTTAATTAACATCCTAGAAAACACATCTACCACCAAGTTAAAAAGTAAAGGAGCTACAGGATCTCCCTGCCTCAAACCTTTACCAGTGAGGAAGAAGTCACTTTCCTCCCCATTTAATTTGACTCCAACAGAGCCTCCTTGAGTAATACTCTTAATCCAACCAATCCACTTAGACCCAAATCCTCTCAGAGCCAACATCTCATAAAGGAAATCCAGGTTAACTTTATCATAGGCCTTTTCATAGTCTATTTTAAACACTAAACCCCGTCTACCAGTGGAATGCACTGCATGCACTACTTCATGTGCAGACACCACACTCTCTAAAATATATCTCCCCCTCACAAAGGCAGATTGGAAGTCAGATATCAGCCTACCAATCACCCCAGCAAGCCTATTAGTAAGAACCTTAGTAAAAATCTTGAACACACAATTAAGAATCATATTTACGGGCTTTTTGTTGAAATGTTGTGTAGTTGATTTACCACATAGCTTGGATGTGTTGCCACTGCTCGGCTCTCCTGACGATTGCGTTAGATATGACAACAAGAGACGGGCAATCAGAAGGTTGAATGTGTATGCTATGGTCAATTGTACCTTTGGCATGGCACGAGATTCTTCTAACGAGATTCATGTTAGAGGAACCAGGAATGTGCATAAAGAGGCATGCCTGCTAGAAGATGTAGGAAATGTCAGAAACAAGTGATAGTGACATATTGCAACGCACTAGTGAGGTTATGGTATTTGCTATGTTTGTGAAGAGGATCACCATCGGTGATAAAAAGTTTGGATCCAAACTCGATGGGTGTCCTGCAAAACCTCAACTCCATAATATCTTATTTTTGCGGGTAACTGCATAATGTCACAAAGAGAATAAAAGGTGATAGGAGGAGTGAGTGATAGTAATGCCGAGGAAATGGCTGACCAATTAAGATCTGTCATGGAAAATTCGGTGGTAAAGTGAGGAGATGTTGTGTTGCATAGTTGTTTGACATCATGAGACTTTTATCATCTATTGCCTTCCATTACTAGGCTTTATATCTCATTCCCTTTGGACCTCGAATTATCAATAATATATTTGGTTTTACCACCAATATGTTTGGGAAGAGGGTTGGAGCTTCTCTCCTTCGGTAGTAGCTACCCGGATCTATTTGGGAAGAGGGTTGGAGCTCATGGGCTCCTGGTGGTGAAGATCAACAGAGATCATGGAGTCAATCATAAGAATCTAGCAAACTAGCAAGGTTGGCCTGACCAAAAGTTGAAGCTCCCATTAGTGTTCTTTGTCCTCATCACCTCAAAGGCAGAGACTGATCTCTTCAACCCGAGTTATGGTGTTTGATCGTCGGGAAAGCTCCTTCCATGCGCAATCGGTGAGCAGCTCACACGCAACGTCTTCGTCATCGACACAGTAACAAAATGATGCATATTTTGTGTCACTTATTACCAATAATCTGAAAGGGAGGGGGGCCCTTGCCGCCTCCCTCCCCATCTCAAGTTCAATGAAAAGAGCAAGACATCTACTACGGGTGTCGGGAATACAAATTCCTAATTATGTCGGGATCTACATTGTCAGAGTACTAAGTTCAGCGGCATATGGAGGAATGAAAGGATGGTATGATCCTAGGAAGTATTTTTCTGGACATGGCTAGTCCATCATCTTACTGACACATTTGTATTTGAGAGGTGCTACACCGGAGGCGGCTAGGTGTTGTCATGAAAGAGGCATCGGGCATGCTACGAGGTGGCGGTGTTCTTGCTATCAGGGTGATAGTGCCCTGCTCGAACCGGCAAGGAAAAGTGTTGCAAGGGCAACCACCGATGACTAGGGCGGCGACCAGCGGTGAGCATCAGCGACGAGGCAATTGGGCAAGGATGGCCGACGAGCTTGACTCGGCGGATGGGAGGATTACAGGCTGCAGACATGCGCCATGGCTTTCCATTTTTTTCAACGAAGCAGTTGAGGAAAGAATTATATGCATAAAACTATGGAACTCTACCATTTACATAGTAAAAGATGAAGGCACTCGCCCAACTAGCGGCATTGGCCACGTCTCCTTTCTTGCGCTATGAATTTACATTTATACATATTGCTAAATAGTAAAACTGAGCTAGTTAAAAGCATCCACGGCGATTTAGAGT